TCAGGAGAGACATCCTTATTAGTGTAGCCACACAGGTAACGTTGATAGAAATATGAAGCGCATTACAATGATTATCTGTAAAATATGATAAATCAGCTGTCACTCTAAAATTTAATGTATATTTAAAGTATAGTTTTGTCAAATGTATGACTGTATATTTGTGTTTACTCTCTGTCTCATTCTGTCAAGCTGTCATGCTCTCTGTCTGTCTGGCTGACTGACTGTCTGACTGACTGACTGTCTGTCTGTCTGTCTGTCTGACTGACTGACTGACTGACTGACTGTCTGACTGACTGACTGACTGACTGACTGTCTGACTGACTGAGTGACTGTGTATATATGGTGGATATTAACATAACTCACATCAGAACTCACACTTGATAACAACCAGACAGTTTAACAGATAGAGAAATATTACATAACTATGAATATTCCTGCTTGAACAAAGAGCCTATACTATAATCAGATATCTGGTCGACTCGGTGGGACAGCAGACTTAACATCAATTAAACTCAATTTTACCAGCATATTAGCATTGAATTGAATTTCCAAAGACAGTGTGATTGAAAGGTAATATAAGAACTTAATATGTTAAATAATGTTAACAAAGCATTCCATTCTTGTTGTCCAAGGAATGAGGTTAAGGTTTAATGACGCCTTCAAAAGTCGAATATGTGATAGGTGAGGTGAGGTGAAATGGGGTTTAACGTCGCGTCCAAGATTATTGCACTTATATAGCGACGTGCATGTACGTGTGATGACACGTGTTCGATACCAAATATGGGTACAATATGTGAAGCCCTCTTTAGGTGTCTGGAATTGTGCTAAAGCCCACTAATGTATTTTGAGTCTGTATTCGTGCCCTATGTATGTGCTCAATACACACATCCATGAAACTAATGAAGATCCTTAACAAACCTTAAGTCAGTTGGCGGTTAGGTAACCTAGTGGTTAAAGCTCTCGCTCGTCACCCCGCAGACCCTGCTTCGAATCCCGACATCCTTGGGTACAAATTGTGAAGCCATTTCTGGTCTCTCCGTCCTGCTATTGCCAGAACATTGCTAAAATCGACGTTCTCATTCTCTCAATATTTGTTCGAATGCTTCTAAAGAGGTAAAACTGAAAAATGATTAAAAAAACCAAATCTCATTTCAATCAGTTTTTCATTAATCATGCTGCCGCGTCTTCTGTAACACTCTTTCAATACATTCATTACCTCAAATGAAAATGCGTCTATTTTTTTAGTCCAGGGCTGTATGTCCCGAGAATATAATACCTCCTCGACATGCTCATTTCCCGAGGACGGCAATCATAGAACAGCAAATGACTGTTTTATATCGGAGCTAGTGTGTTCTAATTAAGTCGTACAAAGTAAGCCTTTAATATTAATTCCCTCCTTTCTGCCCCATGATGCCAGCACTGTCATGTCACACCGGGAAAAGGAATCCAGTGATTGATTCAAAATGTCGATAATTGAAGTGTTTGGTCTTGCTGAAGCAACGGGAGAAGACCCATCTCTACAATCACTGCCACGCTCCAATAACAGTTACACGGCACGGAAGACTTGAAGCCAATTACAAACATGGTGTCTTTATTGAGCTTGTCATTATGTAACAAAGAATTGACGGTAAGATAATGTGACGGGAATGGATAGCGATTACTTAAAAGATATCACACGCACTAACGCAAGTATATGTACTTGGTTCTACTGAAACCTTTAGATCACGTTTTTCTGGCGGCCATGAATCTGTTAGGAGAGTGTGAGCATGTTCCTCTAAAGTAGTCTTCGGGAAGCGTGCTTATAGCCGTAGAAAGAAGTAGATATATGCATGCTTTCAGGACAAGGACGTTAAGTATCAGACTCGCTGAAGCACCCTGTGGATGCTTACGGTGTCTTCTAGTGCGTTAGGTGCTCTGTTGTGATCGATGACGTCTTTGGCATGGCAGAAAGTGGCACTGGGGTCAGTGTAAGCTTTGTTGGACTTAACTTAAACTAAATTTCCAAAAGCGATGGAAGCGACACATTCATTGAAACCTATCCCCAGGAATCATCGCTAGGGATGAATCTTTTGATATCCTAGGGACCTGGGAATTTGTTAAAAAGGTTTTATGGTAGACATGTGGAGAGCATTTCCAAATTTGACACATCAGTAACAAAAATGATGTCCGATGCAGTTTCCTGTTTTGACTTTTTACCATATGTTCCCGTGTTTTTGTGTTTTTTTTATGAGGGGAAAAGTTGACTTGCCTTGCATGTGTTTCCGACGGGTGTCACCGATGGGGCAGGATACGCTAACCTTTTTGCGAACATAGTGATTCATATAGTCGGAATCATCGGATTGACTTTGCTTGTGGCAGAGATATCTTATGAATATGGAAAGGGTTTTATCGCTTATATTTATTTGAAAAAAATAATTTTGCCCCAGGTTGTACTGACAATGCGAAATGGTTAACTGTATGTCTTGAAACGTAGTTTGTTGTAGGCCCCCACAAGTTGTGCCTCCTCCTTTCAGAGAGAAATTGTATGTCGAGAACTGGGAGGACAGTCACAAACAATCTGACGTGATACCACACACATATGCCGATAGTGAGCACGCGATAACATACACGATCTCGACACTTGGCAAGGATGCCAAGGACAAATTTCTATCAGCAAAGGATAACAGCTTAACTGGAACAGCTTTAGTACAGTGGAGTCAAACAATAAATAAAAGCGACCAAACCATTTTCATAATCATAAGAAATCTCTGCTTAAAGCAGAGTCTGTTGTTCGATTCCGACTACAACATAGTCTTGATTTGAGGTGTTCGCGAAAAGGTGAGCGTATCCTGTTCGACCGATGGCATCTGTCACAAACACATGCAATACATGTAACCACGGCAAGTAATGATGACAAGTAACCAAGCTGGCCAGTGGCTTGAGACCTGTTGCTTGTACAAGCAGAACACAGCATGTCAAGTTGATGTCCACATCCTTTTAAATTACATCCTCATATGGATGTATAGTTCTGTGTCGACACCTGACCTAGCGATTCGACACCCGTATCGAGGCACAGAATTTCACTATGTACATAACTGAGTCGTTAGATCCCTGGTCTTGTATCTTTGACCAAAACATATTCTAACAAAAAATATTCATGACCTACTGTAAGTTTACTAACGGAAATGGGTTTACGTTGTAGAGCATCGTAAGATAACCTTTGTACCATAGTAAGTTTGACAGAAATCGGTTAATAGGGTCAGGGGTTATAATCCCTTTTATAAAGTGAGTGAGTCAGTATGGTTTCACGCCGCTTTTAGCAATATTCCAGCACTACCATGGCGGGGGACACCAGAAATGGGCTTCACACATTGTACCCATGTCGGGAATCGATACAGGGTCTACGGCGTGACAAGCGAACGCTTTGACCACTAGGCTACCCGACCGCCCCCCTTTTATAAAACCTGCATTTAGCAACAGATGGTCGTAGTAGAGAGGGATTCTAGAAATGATTAGTCATTTGCACATCTAGATAGTAACGACCAATTAAATCTGCGAATGTCCGATAAATATTATTACATGGTGATAATGTGTGAAGCCCATTTCTGGTGACCCCCGCCGTGATATTGCTGGAATATTGCTAAAAGCGGCGTAAAACCATACTCACTCACTCACTTTATAAAAGGGATTATAACCCCTGACCCTATTAACCGATTTCTGTCAAACTTACTATGGTACAAAGGTTATCTTACGATACTCTACAACGTAAACCCATTTCCGTTAGTACCCTAATACCATAGCGACGGAAAGGAGGACTCTGGTTGTTTAAAATGTAGTTATTGCCACTGTTAAGTGGTAATTGTTGAAAGAACCCTTTACGTATCTAACTATAACCATTCAAATGCAAAACCAGATGGCGTTGATGTCACCCAGTTTACTGGATCTGGTAGAACAAGTTTCTTCTTCAGAAAAGCAAGTCGTTTTACAGTTCCTAAATTTGATTCACCATTCTCTTGTTGGCTTAACAACAGTAGACTAGCATTAGGAACATCATCAGGTTGGGTTGTTATTTCTGTAGGAAGTAGCGTTATCTGTTAAATGAAACAGAAACACCAACCGCGTTAGATGACCGCCTGATCAGTAGCTATTTACGCTAACGACATAAAAAGGGCTTGTTTAATGTTACGGCTTAACGGTATCAGTGGCGAGATGCTGCACTACCATTATCGCTTAATCAGCGAAATGTTGGGTGCACTGAACCGTTATCTTGTCGTGGGCGGAGCTGTCGTTAATGCTATTGTTTCATCACGTTGGTGCGATATCGAGTAATGATTCATTATTCTCGCCGACAGATGAAAAGAAAATAATGACCTACAGTGCTACAAACAAACGATTATTACCATGGTGAATCCGTCTAATACTATATAATCGGTATATATATATAAATATAAATATAACTCATCTCTAATGCATTGTTTAAATCGTTTTAATTAAACACAAGGACAGTTTGAAAATCATGTGTTCCTTTCATATTCGACCTCCGGTGTTATAGGCCACGCATTCAAAATAACATTACATGTCCTGGGTTCCGTTTTACAAAACGACCGTAGCGCTACGATTATCGTATCTCCTAAACTTTAACCTTAGGCTAGATGAACGACAGACGTAGTGCTAAGATAATCGTATCTCCTAAACCTTAACCTAGATGATCGACAGACGTAGCGCTACGATCACTTAGTGAAACGGTACCCTGATATTACCTTCACATATAAGACTGGGATCCTGTCTTTGTATTTAATGGGACAAAGCGGCCGCGCATTCTAACAGCGTAACAAACAGGCCTACGGGTAACGTATGATCTGCCCTATTACGTGTAGGCTGGCGTTCGTTTTATTTTGTCACCGATTTTATGTCTCATTATTCTCGCAATAACATTGACAGGTAAGCACTTTTAATGCTTTAAGGTGTTTAAGGCACCAAACAGTGTACATTCAAATTTTATACTTCTTTTTCTATTTCAGATACTCAGACAATCATCGGAATTTGACAACGATGTCTGTGGGTATAATCCGCGCTTTGAAAACCTTCAAGGACCATCCATATGTTCAGTATGTCGGTCTTGGTTTAGCAGGACTGGTCAACATCGAAAACCAAGATGGCGACCACACTGTCAGCCGGAAGTCAAAACTGCAACTCATTCGGCTATCTACCGCCGTATGTGGCATCGAACTATGCTATGCGGCAGAGACAGCGTTTGTGAGCCCTATTTTATTGAAATTAGGGGTTCCAGTAGCCTTGATGACCCTTGTCTGGTGTCTGAGCCCAGTGTTGGGTTTTTTTCTTGTACCCGTGCTGGGTTCCCTCAGTGACAGATGCCCAATAAAGATGGGCCGTAGGCGCCCATTTATACTTATATTATCAGCAGGTATAGTGCTAGGGCTTCTACTGGTCCCTAACGGTGAGAGTATAGGGATATTATTGGGAGATAAAGGTAACGAAACCTTACATAACACATACAGGTATGTTTATAATCAATCCTACCACGAGGCATCAAAGAGAAGCTTTATAGGCAATATTTCCTTACAAGACGTAACACCAATACCGATAGCGGAAGGGACAGACATGGTAACTGGTACCACCGAACCAGAAACGTATAGTATATCTAAAGACCATTTTCGAGGAATAATACTAACAATAGTCGGGGTCGCAATGCTTGACTTCAACTGTGATGCCTGCCAGTCACCAAGCCGGGCTTACCTACTGGACGTTACCCTACCCGAGGACCATTCCTCTGGGCTAACCATGTTTACGGTCATGGCCGGGATTGGTGGCAGCATTGGCTACATCATGGGAGGGGTGGACTGGAACGCGACAGAGTTTGGTACAGCTTTTGGGGGCCATATACGCGTTGTGTTTTTTCTAGTCCTCATTGTGTTCATCATATGCGTCATTTCAACCGCCACCAGCTTCAAGGAAACGGAACTAAAGGATCTGGGCATTTCTAAAGACAAAATCCAGAAGAAGAAAAAGAAAGTCGGAAAATCAAAATATCGTAAGTTCACCAATGAGGAAGACGATGATGAGGAAGAAGAAATTGGTTTCTCAAACGAACAGACTTATGGCGCTCTGGGTAAACCAGGGTTGGAGAAGCTCCATTCTGACCATGACCTTCATAAAGGTTACACAGCCGACTCCGAGGATGACCTGCCCTCTGGAAACAACATGGAGCAACACACGGAAGCCGACAGACACACCCTGACGCAATCACAAGGCACCGTCACGTCATCAAACGCCGACGACAAAGACCACCCGATTGAGATATCCACCGACGTTACGCTAAAGACATATTTACGTTCCATAGTGAAAATGCCACGGTCGCTATTCATATTGTGTTTAACGAATCTCTTCTGTTGGATGTCCCTCGTCTGTTACTCACTATATTTCACAGATTTTGTGGGGCAGGTTGTCTACAATGGCGATCCTCAGGCCCCGACTGGGAGCGACGCTCACAACCGCTACGATGATGGAGTAAGACTCGGGTCCTTCGGGATGTCCCTGTACTCCTTCTCATGTGCTGTCTACTCGCTCTGCATCGAAAAGCTCGTTCGCACATTCAGTAAGTAATATATTTAGTCCCTAGTCACTTGGACATCGACACCATTTTACGCAAAGCACTGATATGCACATATGTATTGAATTACCCTTAAAAGTATGAATCTATTGTTGCCTAACAAAATTATAGAATTCTAATGAATTCTGCTCGACGAAAGTGTATTGATATTGATCCAACATTTCGTTGTGTAGACTTGTGTCAGGATATTTTGGTCGTTTTGATTCTCAGAATCATATGATGCTGACAAACCAAGACTCGCGAATCTGGGAATCGAATCCACGATCGTGATATCCAGGCCCGTCTAAGGAGCGCAACTCTGACAAGCAAATTACTATGCCGATGTCCCCTAACAGTTATTGATTTATCTATTAACACAATAACAAAGTCAGTTAAACATAGTCATCCTCTGGACCTCTGAAAATGGACACAATGCGATAGGATAGCCTAGTGGTTAAAGCGTTCCCTCGTCACACCGAAGGCCAGGTTCGGTTCCAAGTATGGGTAAATTGTATGAAGCCCATTTCTGGCGTCCATTCCGTGATATTGTGGAATACAGCTAAAAGCGGCGTAAAACCAAATTCACTCACTTTAACATTCATCACTCACGAGTGAGTGAGTGAGTGAGTGAGTGAGTGAGTATGGTTTTACGCCGCTTTTAGCAATATTCCAGCAATATCACGGCGGGGGACACCAGAAATGGGCTTAACACATTGTACCCATGTCGGGAATCGAACCCGGGTCTTTGGCGTGACGAGCTAACGCTTTAACCACTAGGCTACCCGACCGCCCCTGGATTTGACTACATGTACAGCTAACATTCTGACACTACATGCCCCAATCTAATCTGAATTGTAAATACATGCTCCGTGTTACATCCGGACTGATTAACTGCTAACTCATACCAGGTACGAGACACTGGTTCCTCAGTGTCAGTAAGGCTCCCTTTAGTCCACGACAAAATGAGCCCTGGAGGATCAAAGGAAGCCTGTACCGAGGGGAATTTGGTCAGATCTGTCGACCAGAACTGAATCTTGTCACTGCAATTGTATTACATCGCCTATCCAGTCCCATTTTACAATTCAAAGACTTCTCTCAGCTGGATGAGCAACAGCGTTAAAGTTGACGTAAAAACAAGCAATAAATCCTGCTGGACGAATGTAGGCGATCCATCGAGGAATCCTCTTTAGCTAATGTCATGTTTTGAGCACTGAGCCCGACTCGGGAGTTAAGCCACTTCTCTGTCATTGTGATTGAATGGGGAATGTATCTAGTTCCCGCTGTGTTGCAAAAGCAAGTCTGTCGGCTTAATCCCAAGCATTATATAAATAGATGGGGATCTTTCTGTATTTCTGAGCATTGCGTGACGACAATTACTGTTTATATTTAATCACTGTGATGTATGTGCACATCTTTTTTTATGTATCACTGTTTTCCGTGTATGCATAACAGTGAAAGAAAGTCAAACATGTTGAAACCGAACATGTCATTTCTGGAGTTCTGGATGAATTGAATATCGGCAGTATATCGCATTTGAGTGAGTGAGTGGGTTGGGTTAAACGCCGCTTTTAACATTATTCCAGTTATATCACGGCGTGTCAGCTTAATGTGGGAGGAAAGCCAGAAGTGATGCAGGTCTCAGACGTTTACCACTTCGGTGAAACCCACGAGCACGGGTATGGTGCTGACAAACCTAGAAACATAATCGGGGCGAACCGGGATTCGAACCCACAATCATAGGTTTCTGGCGTGTCCAAGGGACGCAACTCTGCACAGCGAATCGCGGCGCCTTAGACGACTGGGCCACCCGTGCCCCCATATCGGGCTGTGCCTATAGTTTCGCATTTGGTAGCAATTTCAGACAAATGTATGTTATTAACACCAACCACCTCAACCACTAAAGCCCTAACCGCCGCCCACACATAGTGTCACTATATGGCTGAAATACTGCCGAGGTAACCCAACTCACTCACTTACTCACCCCTCACTCACTCACTACGTTAAACTCCACACTCATATTAGTTCCACCTTATGATACGACCCTCAATTTATTGCGATTGGTGTATGGGAAATCAGTTGAAATCTTGGAAATCAGATATGGGTTTCACACATTGTACCCATGTGGAGAATCGAACACGAGTTTCCGGGCGTGACGGGCCGTCGTTTAACCACTAGGCTACCCCACACTTTTATTGCCGTGAAAAGCGACAGTACCATATAGCAAATACATATGGAAGGTGCCTTCGCGCATAATATTTAGTTCACAGCAAATGAATTCATATAAATTCTCACTTCATTATCACACAGGGCGGTCGGGTAGTGGTTAAAGCGTTCGCTCGTCACGCCGAAGACCCGGGTTCGATTCCCGACATGGGTACAATGTGTGAAGCCCATTTCTGGTGTCCCCCGCCGTGATATTGCTGGAATATTGCTAAAAGCGGCGTAAAACCATACTCACTCCATTCATTATTACACAAGACAAATACTTTGATGGAAACTCGATTAAGAGACAGTTGTTACAAGAGGGATGACATCAACTTTTCAATAGTAAATTTTCCTTATTGCGAGCAATATTTCGGCCGCTCCAGCCTGTGGTGTCTACATTTCTACCTTTGGAGGCAAATCGAGCAGCCTCTTTCTACGAAAAGATTGCAACTAACAGAAGCTGATTTGAGCGAAGATGCTGGATGTGATGACCACATGATATATAGTTTCCATCCTAACAGCAGGACAAATATTGGTCCTGTTCAATATGGATGCCAGAAGCTTGTGATCGTGGGTTGGAATCCTGGAATTCCTGATTATATTCCTGGTTTGTCAGCACCGTTTTACCAAAGTGGTAAAAGTCTAAAATATGCATCGGTTTCTGCCCAGTACGATCACCCGATACATGGGCGGGTACAGAGGGGGGTGCGGGGGTGCGGGGGTGCCCCCCTATTTATTTCGAAAAAAATCTTTATTTCTGTTTAAATTACCACCAAAGACAATAAATAGATCTTAGTTGTGCACCCCCCCCCCTTTTCAAAAAAGCTGTATCCGCCTCTGCGATATCATCAGTATTGTGATTTGTGACCAGTCAATCATGAAGATCCAGGTTAGAAGTGGTCTTCAGCAACCCATGCTTGTCGTAAGAGGCGACTAACGGCATCGGGTGGTCAGACTCGCTGATGCATGTCATCGTATCACATTTACTCGGATCGATGCTCATGATGTCCATCACTGGATTGTCTGGTCCAGACTCGTTTATTTACAGACCGCCGTCATATAGCTGGAATACTGCCAAGGGCGGCGTTGAACAACAAACAAACATAAACACATGCTTTGGATACAATCTAAATCGTACATTGGAATCTGAATTTAGCAGATATTTCCTATGGTTATGACATTGTTTTGTCGTTTTTTATTTACAAATAATTATGTACGGAAACCTTTACTTACCATATTTGTCTTTGCATTACAGAAGCCAAAAGAGTGTACGTGTGCGGCCAGTTGACGTATACTGTAGGAATGGTGATACTTTCCCTGGTGAGACACAAAGTGGCGGTTATTGTCTTGTCCCCAACGGCCGGAATAATGTACGCCACCCTGTTCACAATGCCATACTTATTGGTAGCAAACTATCACACACGAGGGGAGGTAAGTACCGAAGAGTAAAATTCATGACTATATTATTTTTGTTTTATAGTATTATTTATTATTATATATATTTTTATTATATTGTTTTTATTTTAGTAGCCACTGCGATGGTTATCTGTGATAGTTTAATGCAAACGGCAATTAAACATCACAGATTTCAGCTACAGAAATAGTTGTAATCAAAGTCAAGAGAACGCCACCGTTGGTAGATACGGCCAAAGTTCAAAGCGACCAACAATACGGTGAGGTGAAATGGGGTTTAACGTCGCGTCCATGATTATTGCACTTATATAGCGACGTGCATGTACGTGTGTGTGTTTGTGTGGCTGCTTGTACTAGTGCGGACTGATGCCAATTTATAGTGCTAGCTCACTGAGATACCATGCCGCAGTTTAACATGAATACCCCGCTCAGACACAGTATACTGACTCCGAGCCGACCAGTCCTTGTTTTAGCTCCTTAACGCCGAGCGCCAGACAGGGTAACAACAAGTACTATCTTTTAAAGTCTTTTGGTATGACGCGGTCGGGGATCGAACCCCGGACCTTCCGCTCTCCGGGCGGACGCTCTACCTCTAGACCACTGAGGCGGCCCGACCAACAATACGACGTCGACGTTATCAACTACTTCAATAGTGTAACATCACCGTCAACCCGTCGCCACTGACAACAGCCATATCAGTAGATTAAAAGTAATGTCATGATAACGCCACAGTAATCAACTGCTGCAATAGTTTAAGGGACACGGCAATTTTTCAGCCGTTATATATCTTGTCAGGTTAACACCACCATTATCAGCTACTGTAAAAGTTCAAGGTGGACGGCTGGTAACGCCCCTGTCATCAGGTACTGTAAAAGTTCAAGGTGGTCGTCAGGTAACGCCACTGTCATCAAGTACTGTACAAGTTCATGGTGGACGTCAGGTAACGCCACTGTCATCGGGTACTGTAAACGTTCATGGTGGACGGCAGGTAACGCCACTGTCATCAGGTACTGTACAAGTTCATGGTGGACGTCAGGTAACGCCACTGTCATCAGGTACTGTAAAAGTTCAAGGTGGACGGCAGGTAACGCCACTGTCATCAGGTACTGTAAACGTTCAAGGTGGACGTCAGGTAACGCCACTGTCATCAGGTACTGTAAAAGTTCAAGGTGGACGTCAGGTAACGCCACTGTCATCAGGTACTGTAAAAGTTCAAGGTGGACGTCAGGTAACGCCACTGTCATCAGGTACTGTAAAAGTTCAAGGTGGACGTCAGGTAACGCCACTGTCATCAGGTACTGTAAAAGTTCAAGGTGGACGTCAGGTAACGCCACTGTCATCAGGTACTGTAAACGTTCAAGGTGGACGTCAGGTAACGCCACTGTCATCAGTTACTGTACAAGTTCATGGTGGACGTCAGGTAACGCCACTGTCATCAGGTACTGTAAAAGTTCATGGTGGACGTCAGGTAACGCCACTGTCATCAGGTACTGTACAAGTTCAAGGTGGACGTCAGGTAACGCCACTGTCATCAGGTACTGTAAAAGTTCAAGGTGGACGTCAGGTAACGCCACTGTCATCAGGTACTGTAAAAGTTCAAGGTGGACGTCAGGTAACGCCACTGTCATCAGGTACTGTACAAGTTCATGGTGGACGTCAGGTAACGCCACTGTCATCAGGTACTGTAAACGTTCAAGGTGGACGTCAGGTAACGCCACTGTCATCAGGTACTGTAAACGTTCATGGTGGACGTCAGGTAACGCCACTGTCATCAGGTACCGTAAAAGTTCAAGGTGGATGTCAGGTAACGCCACTGTCATCAGGTACTGTACAAGTTCATGGTGGACGTCAGGTAACGCCACTGTCATCAGGTACTGTAAACGTTCAAGGTGGACGTCAGGTAACGCCACTGTCATCAGGTACTGTAAAAGTTCAAGGTGGACGTCAGGTAACGCCACTGTCATCAGGTACTGTACAAGTTCAAGGTGGACGTCAGGTAACGCCACTGTCATCAGGTACTGTACAAGTTCATGGTGGACGTCAGGTAACGCCACTGTCATCAGGTACTGTAAACGTTCAAGGTGGACGTCAGGTAACGCCACTGTCATCAGGTACTGTAAACGTTCATGGTGGACGTCAGGTAACGCCACTGTCATCAGGTACCGTAAAAGTTCAAGGTGGATGTCAGGTAACGCCACTGTTGCCAACCCAGCTATTGGGAGATTGCGGGGCGGTGGGGTAGGTCATCGCTCATCGAGCCGAAAGAACGGATTCTATTCCCCACATTGGTACAATGTGTGAGGCCCATGGTGTCCCCCGCCAAGATATTGCTGGAATATTGCTAAAAGCGGCGTAAAAGCATTTCACTCACTATTGGTAGATTGCACAATTAAGGAATACCATTCTATTACAAAGGGTGGTTTAAAAAAGAAGAAGTTTCTTTCATTTCACACCAAAATCAGACCGAACACATAGAAAACAAGATACAAAATTCCAAGATCCATCAATGTATATATTTTTGCGGCATTTCGGCAATTCAAGCATCATTTTCGAAAAATAATTCCCATTAGCGTTGAATTATCAGCCAATACAAACAATCATACGGCCAGCGTAAGATACATGTACCACGACAGAATGAACGAACGTGACCCTTCAGCCAAGCCCCAATAGTATACCCAAAGGCCATTATCAGAGATCAAATGCTCTCGTGTCTCGCTTAGTGTTTACTATCGGAAGGCAATTTATGACAACAGACCTGGCGTTTTACCTAGAAGTGATAAATAAGCCATCCTCACAATATTTACTTCTACTCTGTAAGTAATCAATAATGATGACGTCCGCTTTTATCCATGTCGGCTTTTATATCACGGCGCGAGCGCTGTACATGACGGTACGCCACACAATGGCAACACGAAGGCGTGAAAATAGAGGGACTGTATTGAACAAAGATCATATGTCGGCTTGAACCTTCGATCACAGATATATCAACGTACTTAAGACGAAAAATCAAGACGATAAGAGATCATTCGACTCTTGGTTCGAGTTATTCCACTGTCACTGACATATAAGGAAATAAACTTGATGTGTGCTTGACGAGTGGGAATTCAATTGAAACCGGGAACGTCAATAGGTGACTATGTCCGTCAACGTCACCGACGTTGGTAAAAAAATAGAAAATGATTAAGGAGCATTCATGTGATTTTTATGGGTTTTGGGGTGGGGGTTAGAGCAATCTATTTTTCCCCAGATGTATCCAAGAAATTATTTATTTAGTAAACACATCAACAATCTATTTATTTTCATTATTAACACACAAAATATTGACGTTGTGGTATTTTCATCAAAACAAACTATTCCTATGTTTCAACTCTGCTAACAAATTATAGAAATCAATTGGATGCCTACTTACATGAAAGTTTAAGAGAAGTGGGTATATTATAATACAATGTTCATGGTGGTTGATATGACATTTGAATCTGAAATAACATAATTAATTTCATTTATGCCAAGAAAGACATATTTTAGTTTGCCGGTTTGATCAAGCCGTTTTGGTATATGTACTGTGCTCCAAAATAATGATAACTCCCTGTTGTGTATTGCGAGCTCCTGCGATGAGCGTGAGTGACCCGCGATGGTCAAATGTGTGAGAATTTCTGTGTGTTGCAGAGAGTTAGCGGCTGAGCACTAATCTTCAGGTATGAAATACTGTTTTTTGTTTAATATATTATCATGTCGTAAATGCAAGTTTTGGAAATACGTCAACTTTACTGATAATTCATTTTGCATTTTTCAAAGAGCGTGTTGTTCGATTTTCAATCTTCTTTGAGTGCTCAAAATATATGCTGGAAGTATTTGTAATGTTTTCAAGTATTGTTATATCACCTAAATGGTATAACTATTCTTTGTTGCGTAAATATAAGTCAAAGAAAATGTTTATTTACCGTAAATGTGAATTTTGTAGGGAGTTAAATTTAAGGAGAAATCCTTGTTTCAAAATGAAATGTAACCTTTATTGGGGATGATTTGGGTGAACATTATGAATGTTTGAATACTTTTCAAAACTTTAAAAAAAAATTGATTTATTTGCTTTATTATCACTAAAGAGTATATTTATTTTACTCTTCAGAACACATTTAATGTTACGAAGGACTCAGCCAATAAAGAGTGGTGAACACTATCTTCTCTTTATCATTTGTACCACATGGGAACCTGCCACATACAGTATCGCGATTTGGAAATATTAAATATCGATCATTAAATGTATGTACTAGTTTGTCCAGCATATGTTGGAGTTTCCAGTCCTATTTTTTAAAAACACATATAACTTGTTAACTGCGTGTCTCCTTAAAATAGGCATTTCCGTGTTCCAATCATCTTTGAAAAGGGGTGTTGGGGTAAGCTAGTTGTGAAAACGTTTGCTCGTCACGCCGAAGCCCTGGGTTCGATTCCCCACATGGGTACAACGTGAAGCCCATTTCTGGTGTACCCGACGTGATATTCATGGAATATTGCCAAAAGCGGCGTAAAATCCAGTTCACTCACACACTCTTTGAAAACAGCTGTTTGAGACGAGTCCTTATAACTGTTGATAAGTAAACAGACATCAATGCTTTAGGGGTATGAGTGAGTGAGTGAGGGAGGGGGGAGCTGTTCGCGGCAAAATATGATATGGGTATACATACTCATATAAGTCACATTAAAAGAAACATTTTTTTAAAAAACAACGGCAGCAACTAATTCATAGAAATCATACACTTTCAATGATGACACTAGGTGTTCGTTAAAACAGTTATATAAAACGTCAACGCCAAAAAATATTCAGTCTCGATTATCCGCCGAAACAGAATCCATAAGGCGCAAAAAGGCAAAATAACGGTGACAATTATATGAATAGATCACTAAAAATCATCTGCACCAGGTGTGCGCAAAGGTGGTCAGCAGACCCCGCCCTACCGGTAGCACAACACATGTGAACTTACATACATGCTCCTAGTCATAGTTTACTCTTGTTAGATAAG